CATATACTAGCAGGCACGCTCCGCGCTGCGTTGCTTTGACGCATGCCCGTTTCAGCGCGTTCGGTGTCCCTCGGTCACGAAAAGAGGGAGACGCATGTTGCCTGGGTAACGCATCGGTGCGAAATGCAGTATGTCGCATTTTGCACCGGTTACCGTCAGGCCACGTCGACGGAGGCTGGTCGCGCCCGGCGTCAGATTATAGAATACTCTCGTTTTGCTAACGTAGTGGTGCTGTGCCCAGAATACACGCACGTCAACGCTACTTTGGAGTATAATGGGCCCTTCATGATGCGCTCGCGGCCAGTTTGGTAGCTCCATGTATACTAAGTTTGGTGTTACGTGACGTCAATGGATGACTAAATATTTGAATGGTGCAAACATGATAATCCGGACACGCGTGTCATGTAAAAACATGACAACATACCGTGGTCATAGTGTGCTCACGGCCGTTTCGCCAGCTCCACATATACTAAACTTGGTATCACGAGACGAGAATAGATGATGAAGGTAAACAACACATTTAAACACGATAATCATGACACAGAAATCATTTACGGCATCATTTACCTGCACATCGTAACGTTGTGCTGATCTTACATAACAGCCCCCATCATTCCTGCTTCGCATATCATCGATTTCCACTGTACGTGGGATCTGCCATCTTTTTCTTTTTTTGACGATGGAGTTTCAAGCACAAGCATGGTTCTGCTCGACCTCCCCACTGAAAGCCTGGGTTCAAATTCCGCTAGGTCATTCTTTTGTTTCTCATTGTACATGAGAGCGGTGACGTGCAGCGGCAGCGGGTAAGTGCGCTATTCAAATTGGCTTTTGTCGCGATTTCTAACACCTTAAATTACGGCCCAAAGAATTACTGCAGCGACACTGCACCCAGTATGTCCAAATAATTGCTGTTTCTCTAAATGTGTGCCGAAAGATTTTTGTTGTAAACCAAAATCCGTATCATTGCGACGTAAAGATACCAACGCGTCGTATGCCAGAAGTGCCAGACGGCACGGTATGAAAAAAAAAAACGTGCATTAGAATGTTGCCCATTATTTGGCATAATGTGACAGATACAGAGCTGCTTTGTTTCGAAACAGTTCGATATCAGGGGCGAATTTTTTTTCTTATGATTGTGACTATACAAGAACGACGTATAGTCCTTCACGCGAATGACCTGGAAGTGGAACTCACGAGTGAATTAGGGCAAGTAATATTTTGGAGTTTGTGTCCGAGCAAGGGCGCTTGAGAAAAAAATAATTGTTAGTCTCAGTCGCAATGAGTCTGGTTGAGGAAAACATTTTGAGTCTTAGTCAGATTGAGGCTTAAGTGCAAAGTATATTACTTGAGCCAGTCTAAATGAGGTCCACTTTTGTTTTTCTACCTTTAGTCCTATCTATCAATCACTACCTTTAATGCTAGCCTTTTATCGGCTCACATTTACGCTCACTTCTAGTGAGACATGTCAACGCGCTAAGTTCATACACCACTTCAGTATTTATTGATCAGAGGGATAAGAGACATGCTTGGGCTAGTTGGTAATTTGGAATCAACATATTTGCACAACGCGAGACAACGAGTAGTTATGGTGTAGCTACTCAGCGTAACTACTACGGAAAGAAAAGACATCGGCAGGAAAGAGCGTTGACTAGAAAAGAAATAGAGCATCCGGCTGTGACGCAATGAATTGTGAGTTTGCGCAGAGCTTTGATTTTGTACCCGCTCAACGAGATATCGAGTGTCTGGTTGTGACACAATAGGTGGCGTGGTTGTGTTGGGTTGTGTTCTTTACTGTCATATACATTTATTTACAGCGTTTTCGCTAATAACACTTAGTTTATATCAGCACTCTCTCATCTCCATGTCTCTTCCTTTCGTATGGCACTGGTTGTCTTGAGCTCTGCAAATAAGTTCATCAGAAGGATGAGTTAAAGCGGCTTTAAATTTTTCTTCCAAGAGAATTTCCTGATAACTTTATCTCATGAATCCTCCATCGAAATGTCCTCACAGTATTGCAACCACTGACAACTGGTGCCTGAAATTACAAGGTAAAAAAGCGCTCTGTAGGGTATACTGATTGTGTCAAATATTAGCGTTAAAGACACCATGATTGTTAAAGCTAGAATGATAGCTAGTTTTACTCTGATGCACTAGACGGGCTCACTAAGACTCAGATCAAGCCGTCAGTCTGAGTGTGACTGAGTTCAGCTGAGCAATATATTGACGAGTTTCAGTCCGAGTGAGTCCAGCTGAGAAAACGTTTGGTCAGTATTAGTCCGAGTGAGCCCCAAGTAAAAAATATTATTGTGCGTCTACGTGAGCTATATATATATATATATATATATATATATATATATATATATATATATATATATATATATATTTGATTTGCCAACCTATGATGAAGGATGAAGGGCTCAAACATTTTTTTTTTCATTTGATGCTGGTTTATAGAAAGCGGAATGTATTTCCGTTTAAAACAGAGTCATATTAAGTAAAATAATCAATTAATGTCGCCTTTTTCATGATGAAAAAATAACAGGAATATTTTGGTGATTGTGTTTTTGTCCCCATGCATTGTGGCAGTAAAGCCTCAAATATATTTAAGATCGACGCAGGCATGTTACGGCTGCTTTTTTTTCTGCTGCAGAAAATGCGTGATCCCATTCAAAGATAGACACGGGCACCTCGTATACCGCAAGATATTTAGAAGCTGCTTTAAAAGCTGCTTAGTCCAGCATTCGATCTGCGTACCACACTCTGCACTGAGTTACACTCCGATACTGTACAAGCAATAGAAAGGTATTGCCACACATTCTTTTGTTCGGCAATGACTTTACACTAATCTAAAGGAGTCGTCGCTATAGTGTCTCCAAGCATAATGTCGTATGTCTAAAAACTCTATTTTCAATGCTTCTCACATCTTTCGTTTAATTAATACCAGAACTCGTTTTTATCTGCTACGTACAAAATCTTCCACTTTTCTCAGTGGCTCGCTATACGCAAACACTTGCCGTCTTTAATCGTCAGGTTGCTTGGAAGGTGTTGTCTTCAAACTGAAATGGTTCATTGATCTGTCAGAATCATAGGTATAGCATAGGAATAATTCAGAAATTTTCTGCAAGGTTATCTCGAACGCTCCGCGATGTCACCTTGACCGGCTTTCACTGATGGCAGCGCCACCAAGCGTTGGATGTCGTATGTTCGCAGCAGCTGAAGACAGATCGATGAAGAGCGGGTATGTGCTTGAAACGACACCATAATAAAGAAGCACAATATTAGTGACTTTCGCTGAAGGAAGGGCGGAGCCTTCTTTTATTGTTTCCAGTATTTCCAGTGTTTTTTTTTTATTTTTTGATTTCTATTTACTTCTAACATCATCGAGGTGCTTGAGAAACAAGGCGCTTGAATGACCATGGCGTATGTCATGTTGCCGGTGTTACGCATAGGTACGACAGAGTACGATAACCGCATACCCTGCCCCCTCAAGTGCTCTGTACTTATAATAATTTTTTGTAAATTACAATATTACATTTCTGATAATGCCACTCTCTTCCCAAGAAGACGCTTGATAAAGGTGAAAACGCGTAAAAAAATGTTAAGTTGGCGATGATATTCCCGAAGCACAAGCCGTGACGTCATAAATGTTGATGGTGTCTACAAGGCCGTATGGGGGTCCTGATCAGTAAAAACGAGGTATATTGTTCCCTGGGGGCAATAGACTTGACAAGCTAAGTTTAAAAATATTTAGCTGAGCTTATATAGCGAAAACACGACAGCTACGCTTTGATATCTGTGACGGAATGGGGCGATATTTCGGCGCGAGATTTAAAAAAAAGCAGTTTTCACCATGGTTCTCTCCTTTGTTAGTGAACATACGACGAAATGAGAGTGTTCATAGTACTACTGATCAATCTCAGTCCCTTAAATTTTTCATTTTGGCGTCTATTTAAAAGTGAATGCGTGCTCTTCCTACTTCTGTGCACTATTCACTAGATCACTTGAATGAGACGTTTACTGATGGAAGAGTATGTGCTGAGACTTGCTGTACTATCTGCGAAGCTTGCATGGGTGACGAGTGGTGGAATATATTTCCACTGAACAAATACCCGAGTAGTCACTAAAGCACTGCTTTTGAAAATTTTGTATGAAGTATTTGATTCAGACAATAGAGCAGCTTTTGCAGAGGAAAATTGTCTGCTAATTCACCGTAACAGCGCCACAAGGTGTGACTCGAAGTGGTAGGGAGAGCCATCTGGCTTTTCATAACGGCTTATCGTCCATAGCTGACGTAAAGAATTTGCGAAAATGCCATAACCTTGTTTACCTACAGTGATTACGTCTCTGTAGTGCTTCTAATATTAATTCATCATCTTCATTTTTGTGCAGTTTCAGTGAACTGCACGACGGTCGAATGCCTCTTCCAATGATCGCTCGTTTTTCTTAACCTGTACGAGCTGATTCCAATACAAGGTAAGTGCCACCCATGCAGTCTCTGAACAGCCAGTGAAATTTGCAAAGTTTACGCCGTAGTGGTATGTCATTTTCTAAACTGATTAAACTGTATATAACGACGGCGTAAATAAAACCATGCTTCATAGCCAGATATAACGTTACTTTTTACTGCTGAGCTGAATATATCAAACATATAGATCATTTTTATGAACTACACGCTGACGATAAGCCATTGGCCAGAATAGTACTAAATTTTGGCTGAATGAAAAAAATTAATTTGTACAACCACACACAAATTGTTGCAAATATAGTGATGAGCTACGCAAAAGGGACTTCATGCCTAAGACATTGTGAGGTGCTGCACATCCCTCTGTTACCTCAGGCATTTCACCTCGTCTTACCATCTTACCTCGTCTGCGAATACATAACGAAGTTTCACTGTGGGGCATTTGCTCTTGTTAGGCGGCTCAAACAATCTGGTTTGCGAGCTGAATACAGGATGCCGGACAGAGCCGTAAACGGACATGCTAGCCATGATCTCCTACCTGCTAGCGCAGCGGCTGCGCAGAGCAGCACGATGACGGGCTTCATGGTGAATGGCGACGGCGTTGCCTCCAGCACGAATGGTAGTCACATCCGTCAGTGCCAAACAACACAAGAATGAGTTCCCCCCTGATGACACCCAAAGGCTGGCGGTTCTGGTCGTTGTCCCGCAATGATGATTACGGAAGAAATAAGAGATTGTTGGTGAGACGCGACGGTGGCGATGCCACAACAGTGCGCGTATGGTCTGCGATGGCGCCAAAACGGGACCTTATATGCCTCCTTGCCCTCTCTCTTCTGAAGGAAGAGGAGGGGAACCTATGAGGGAGTTGTAGGTGATACGGCGCTCACTTGGATGTGTTTCGAGCAGTGGAGAGGAACGGCAAGGCCGAAAGGATGGCTTTGATAGCAGAAATTTCTGATAAACGCTTCAGGCAAAGGGATCTTTCATTCTGGCGAAGGAAAAGTGGCAGAGGGGCCAGCCAGTCGTTTGAAGCACATGGAGCTCGACGGAACCAGTTAAATAGGATTCATTGTCCGATCCTTTTGCGGTCTTGCTGTCCTCTTCTTCGGGACAGAAGAAGGAGGACCAGAGTTTCCCTTGGATTCCTGTCACAGGGAGCTCTGCTTAGGAGTCGCGTATCAGTCAATCTCTGTGGAGTGGGGGCTGCTCGAGTGTTTTGCGGCTTATCGTGCATGCGTCGCCGCAGCATCGGCCGCTATCATGCACGGGCAGCGCTTGAGTCCGTCGCGTGCTTCTTTCTTCGATGATAAAGCCCTCAATTTCCGAGCAGGGTGTCCTTCTTCGCTTTGGTTTCGTCATTGCTTGGGTCCTCCCTTGGCTTTTCGGAATGATTCTCTTGTCACTTGCCATTGCACTGTGCGGACGGTGATTTGGCTTTCTAATGATCAACATCAGCATTCTTCAAGAGTATCTGAAACGAATGCGAAGTTTACGAAGGAATGATTCTGTGAAAGTGACACATGGGCAAAGTTACTTCGCAAAATGTGTCTGAACAGAGCGTAACAGACAAACAATGAAATGAAACGCCTTTCAAAGCTGATCTTGTTCTTGCTTGCCTCGCAGTCTTTACGCATATCCGTATGCATCATACGACTCAAAGAATGTTCGATCACTCAGCATTCACACGAGGAACAGAGAAATTACAGGTGCCGTCATGTACGCGCTCGCCAACTGTACCATACTTACAGCGCATGCAGTGTCTGATTGAAAGGAATCCAACCTGCGTCCACTGCGCATTTATTTATAAGTTCAGTGGATTGAGGCGTATTAGTTGGTTTCGCCATGTTCTGTCTGATGTCATAATGAAAATGCACCGTGAACAAAACGAAAAAAAAAAAGAAACGGTTCACAAGTGCAAATGAGAGGACTGATTGGTACTGAACGCAAAAGAAGAGGTGCACACACAGCACAAAAGATGAAACAACACCCTGCACGTGCCCCTTTTGTCGTCACTGTTCTTTCCACAACGACTACGACAGCTCGTTTTGTTGAGCTGCTACGCCGTCCTGGTTCACGAAGATTTCCACGGTGAATATGACGTGTGGTAACACCTCCACTTCTCCGCCATACGTTTTTATTTATTTATATTTATTTATTCATGCAAAAAACTGCAACACACGTGAAGAAATGTATTACAGCTGGTATAATCCAAAACGAATATCCACGACACAGTTAAGATGACAAATCTGGGGAAATATCTACACTCTAAACATAGCTTAACACTCTCAAAAGGTGCAGAAAAAGCAAAAGCACAATACATGATTAGGTAATGTTGAAGCGAGTAATAATCAATGGTACTTGCTAGGGCAGAAGGCAAGCTACTGCTTATATACGTTGGTACGACGTGTGTATTCTCGAACATTTAAAGAGTGATCCAGATGGGCTGACCTGTAGGCAAGATCAAGGATATATAATTTTTTCCTTAGGCCTGTTGGTCAATGGAAATTATGTAAAACAGTTTTGGAGGTGTGTATTTTCATTTGTTTTGGAAAAACACCCACCCAAGATTGGCTCAGACGTCAGAAGAGCTGATTGTAAAGTCGCTGTTCAAGCAGACAAATTGTGTTGCACAATCCTATCAATTTAGTTTTCATCTGGACATGCATTTCTTCGTGTCTAGGTCTCAAATAACACCTATACATTAAACAAAGCATAGTTATTCTTCTGTTTTTTTTATTGCTTGGTGAAAAGCGGCACCGGGTAATAAGTTAAAATGATTATATGCAAATAAACATCAAAATACTGTTTTTTTTTTTTGCTTTGTGGGCAATCATTATTTCTGGTCGTTTCAAACGAACAAACTAAGACTGCTCGAGATACAAAAGCTTTTTTTTTTTTTAATTTTAGACCATCGGTGCCTTTGAGGCCATGACGAGACATGCACTCATGAGGGTCAGCACAAAAAAAGAGGGGGGGGGGGCGAAAAAGAAGAAAGTACTAGACAGGAGTACGTGATACGACTTGAGTACGTTTAAACTACGGGTCCCATTCACTACAATACTTGAGGCACAACCAAACACACCCTGTGCCGCTTTCGATTTATAGAAAATGTGCTCTGGAAGCTTGACATCGCCTGCAGGATGGATAGGAATTTTAAGTGGAAGAAATCGTTTTGTAGTAGGGCAGATGCACTAACAGGTGCACCTGTGAAAAGCATAACGAAAGTACCGATGCCGCGATCGCACGAGAGCCTGTGTCATCTTTGTGACTACGCTTATTGAGGCTACGACGTCGTAATAAACGATAGAGCTGTGCGAGCTTGGAAAAGACGGCACAAGCTTTCGCACAGTCACAGCATCTTTTGTCATCCTCCCACAGGGGCACGCCCGTTGGTGCTCAACTACACGTGTACAATGGCGTGGATGTTCTGGCATGCTAAGACCGTGAAGGTCCCACTGCGCCGCCTTAAGTTGACTGGACATCATGAAAGTTGGCGATCTATTAGTGCGTGTTCTGTCACTACACTGCAGCTTTGAGGTCCGTCGTACGAGTGCGAATGGAGGATAGGACACAGAGTGCCGATTTTCTGTAGCCTCCTGTCAGTCTGCGCTTTAAGCCATGTCGTACGCCCAATCCTAGTTTTCGTTACACATATTTACTTCGAAGGGCAATCGCTCGAAACTGGACACCCTTTAGCAGAATGTGATGCAAGTCTGATAATCGCAAGAAGGCTCGCCAGCATGGATTACAATAACTTCCCTAGTGGTAGAGGTGTCGGAACACATTCTATGGTTACCGAAAAGAGTACCTATTGAGTAAATAAATAAATAAATAAATAAATAAATAAATAAATAAATAAATAAAGCTACTCTTTTCCGGAGTTTTTTTTTTTTAATGCGGAGGGTGCCGCTAGAACTTTATTTTTTCGGCAGAAATGCGGCAATAACTGGAGTTCATAGAAACCATCGTGAGAGCACACAGGACCCACGAGAAGGAGCAGATGCCTGTTCTCGTCTGTTCCTTCTCATGTGTGCTGTCCAGTTGCGTTCTTATGATAGCTCTCACGATGGAGTGCAACAAGACAGGACAAATGAGAAGGAACAGATGAAGACTGGCGTCTGTTCTTTCTCGAGAGTCTTGTGCTGTCTGGCGTTGGTTTCTTTGTAAAAACACCTACTTGGAGTTCAGCTTTTCCAAACCGGCAATACTAAGAATTTTCGCGGGTGCTTTCGCGTTATTGTAATACTCCAGCGTCACAAGTGAAATGATAACTGAACACGACTACATCAGAACGGACGGAGCAGACTTGTTTGAAAAGTTTAATTACACATATATACACACAAGCACAATTTATTTAATACAAGACACTTATACTTTTGTGCTTAATACAACCTTGGAGCTTCAGGGCCCCTAAACAGCCTCTAAAAACACGATGAACGAGAACGTTATTATCTCCTGGTGTTTCTCGCTTTGCAGAGTCATTTGTGACGCCATAAGTTTGCCCACGTGATTTAAGGATGAAATAACTTCTCGATTGGTTGATATACGTACCCTTGTACTCTGCTTTCCCTCGCATGCCTTTTCTAACTTGTCTCGTACGCTATCGTGTGTGATAGACTCATTTCACTTCGTTTTTTTTTTTTTTTGCGTTTGCGGCGGCGCGAGCGGAGATAGCATCGTGTAGTCAAAAAGCGCAAAATGCTGACTGACTCTTACATTTCCCGTGTTTTATCAAGCACGGAGTGCTTGAAGGAAGAGCAGTGAAGGCGGGAAAGAATTTACTGTCTCACCTTTGAACTCGATGTGCTTCAGGAGTCATTAAACGCTTAGAGCATCCGGTGCGTTATTTGGAGGCCACCGGTTTGGTCTCGGCCCACGGCAAATAATTTTTTGTTTACTTTTATTTGCTCACATATACATTATTTTACTGCGAAGGAATCCCTATGCTTTCCTTGGCACCCCAACGAAAACAAGAGGCGACTCAAAAGGCAATCTGTTTCGGCGCTGTTCGGTGGGCAAAATGAAATAATCGACATCTGAGTAAGAATGTCATGGCGATTGATGTTCCGCATGCAACCGGCCTGTGCACACAACGAAACGTCACAGCGCTGGATGGAGTCAACGCCCGCTCTTGCATCCCAGTGGGTTTCAACGTCGTCATCGGCGCAATCTACGACACTCACGCTGTGTTTCTGAGCTCCCACTTGTTCAGCCTGATTAAATAAGTTAACGAAGCTACCTTCATCACCAAAGTTGCTCGCCTTGGTACTTCACGCTGCATGAAAATATACTTCAAGGGCAGCTCTATGCCTTGCTATGTAAATGTGACCCAATTCTGACATTTTGTAAGGCCATTTGTGCTCAAACCACTCGAATGTCACAACCAGTGTTGTGGAGCTGCCACTCCAGAATTCGAATGCATCCAAAATCATTCCACTTTTTTGGGACCCCGGAATGGAATGAAAATAGAATGGCTCTGATACTTGGAGGGATGAAATGTAAATGAAAATTTTACAAGCAATAAATGGTAATGAAATTAAGCTTCTTTTCTGAAAATAGAGCACATTTTCGTCGACGTGCTGTTTTTGAAACAGTGGTAGGTTAGACCCTTGAATTTAACAATTGGGCTGTAATTTTAAAAGGCTTGGCTGATTGCAAGCATGATACATTTACAAGCAACGCGCTTACTATATTCTGTCCTTGCATGCACTGAGTTACTCGGAATTTGTTCTCCATTCTACGCGTAACCATGGTTCTATGCCGTTGTATCCGTTTGGCGTTACTATACGT